GATCCTTCCGCCTCAGCCTTCCAAGTAGCCGGAATTACAGGCGCGTGCTACCACGCCCATTTTTTGATTTATTGTAGAGATGAGGTCTCGCTGCCCAGGTGGGTCTCGAACCCGCAGGCTCAGGCAATCCACTCACCTCAGCCTCCCAAAGGCGCGGGATTACAGGCTGAGCCACCGAGCCCGGCTGCCCTCTGGCTCTTAATCCTGGCAGGGCTCACATGGGGCTGGCTGGTCTTGGCAATTCCACAGGAAGAAAGCCTGTGTTTTGGCCCTGTTTTGTGGCCGTGCCGTGGGGACTTTGGATGATTTCTGTTGGTCCACTTGGAGGGAAGGATGCCAGAAGGTTCGAGGGACATCCGCCTGCCACTGAGGTGACAAGGCTCTGGTAAGGCAGAAGACCCCCTTGCTGAGGGCAGAAGTTCTGCCGGAATGAATACCAGTGTCTGCCCTCTCTGAATCGATTTCTGCCAGTGGCTCCAGAGTCCTTTTGGGGAAATACGGCTCCACCCAGACCCTGACTTGCATGGGCTGCGAGGGGACATCACGGTCTCAGGTGGGCCCTGGCTCCCAGCACAGGACAGGTAGGTGCAGAGCTATTTCTCCTTGGTCAGCCCTGCCTAGGCCACCAGGCTGAGGCCCACTTTGTCGGGAAGGGAGGAGGCAGGTCCAGAGAGCCTGGGGGGAGTGAGCCAACGGAGTTCAGAGTCCCAGGTGAGTGATGGGGAAGCCAATGTGAGCTACAAGGACAGAGAGAAAGATGGAGAGAGACAGACAGGGAGGCAGACACAAGATGGATGGGTCAGAGAGAAACAGGGACACACAGAAGGAGACGCAAAGACAGAGGGATGGAGACAGAGGGAGATACAGAGAGATACAGATACAGGCAGAAAATGAACAAAAACTGAAGGCTGGTAATCATGCCTGTAATCCCAGCACTTTGGGAGGCTGAGGCAGGAGGATTGCTTGAGGCCAGGAATTTGAGATCAGTTTGGGCCACATAGCGAGACCTCATCTCTACAAAAAATATAAAAAATTAGCCAGGTGTGGTGGTGCGCACCTGCAGTCCCAGCTACACGAGAGGCTGAGGCAGAAGGATCATCTGAGGCTAGTAGGTCAAGGCTGTAGTAAGCTGTGATTGTGCCACTGCCCCCCAGCCTGAGGGACAGAGTGAGACCCTGGCTCAGGAAAAAAGCCTCAAAAACCAGGAGGACAACAAAACAAAACATAAAACCAGAGACATGGAGAAAAAGAGACAGTGAGGCCGTGATGGAGAAGAGAGACACGAAGAGAGGGAGGGAGATCACCAGCTGGAGAGAGAAGCCAACAGTCCGAGAGATAGAAATAGACGTCGGGCTCGGTGGTTCAGCCTGTAACCCCGCGCCTTTGGGAGGCTGAGGTGAGTGGATTGCCTGAGCCCGTGGGTTCGAGACCCGC